GCCTTCCACTTCGTAAACACTTCCATACAATTTTAGTGTAATAAATAAAAAAGATGATAAATAGTGGAAACCTCTAATAAAGTGAACTGCAGTAGATCAAGAAATTAAAATAATATTATATGATTCTAAATATTGAATTGTAAAAGAAGTAATTAACATATACATTGTGTGCCTGGCAAAAAGGAATTTTAAAACGGATGTGGGCAAAATGATGAAAAATAAATTACAAAACATTTATTTCAAAAAAATTGTTGAAGTGACATCATTTAAAGATGAAAATTTACCAAATAAACTTTGATGAATTTATAAAATTGCTATAAAAAATAAAGAATAAAAATTGACAAACATGGGGTTATTTGAATAAAAGTTAATCAAACAATTACAAAAAATAGGTTAACACATAAGCTATCACTCAACAAGGAGAATTGAAAATTAATAATCAATATTGCCAAATCAAAATAGTTAGGATGAAGTTAATGATGATGAATGAGTCTCAAATTATCCAACATATAAATTTACATAGAATCTATCTAAAATTTTGAGCTCTAAAAACAACAATTTTATATAAATTGTTCAAGCGATAAATAAATAAAAATAATTTGCAGAATTCTTTAGAATTTTAAGCCAAAAATGCCCACATGGAGGACAACTATTTGAAGTCCTTACAAGCTATTCTATAGTTTTTCTATATGATTCCAGCTGAATATATTTTAACAATGCATTATATTTTGATGCATAAAATAAAAGGACCCGGATGCAGCTCGCTTGCTTATGGAGCTATGATGGAACTAGGACCATTCAGAGTAAACAGTGATGGAAAAACTCTCCAAAGAAATATTTATGCATGGAATAATGGTAAGTGCTGCTACTTCGAGACAAAATATCTTCATTAATTAAAGTCTCGAGATTATGATCTTAATTATGTTATTTTTATAATATCACAATACGTGCAGTGGCAAACGTAATCTTCTTGGAATCTCCTGCGGGTGTGGGTTTCTCATACTCGAATACGACGTCGGATTATGATAAGAATGGAGACAAGAGAACTGCTGATGATTCCTACACATTTTTAGTAAATTGGATGGAGAGATTTCCACAGTACAAGAATAGAGATTTTTTCATAACTGGCGAAAGTTATGCTGGCCATTATG